TCTGAATAGAAACACCTCAATCCCCTGCCCAGAAGAAAGCTGGTGAACAGTACAAAGGAGGAGATGCATTGATTTGTATAGGTGGACGGACTTAGACAGTGTAAATAAAGTACATGCTGGTGTTTACTAGCAAGGAGGTCTCAGAGCGGTTTGTATTTGTGGAAGAGCTGAGGTACAATAGGCATGCCCCGTCATACCCTCAAACATCACTCTGAAGTTTAGAATGTCTCTTGAGTCAGTATGGAACAGTGGAACTGCAACAAGCATGGTTGAGAGTTTTTTGTTTAGAATACCACCAAGTTCAATCATCAGGGCCGGCGCTTCCATTTAGGCAACCTAGGCGGTCGCCTAGGGCACCAGGATTGGGGGGGGGGGGCGGCATTTTGCCGCCCTTGGCGGCAATTCGGTGGCGGGGGGTCCTTCCACGCTCCGGGTCTTTGGCGGCAATTCTGCGGCGGGTCCTTCACTCGCTCCGGGACCCGCCACCGAAGTGCCCCGAAGACCGGGAGCGCGGAAGGACACCCCCCACCCCCCGCCGCAGAATTGCCGACGACGACCGGGAGCGCGGAAGGACCCCTGCCTAGGGCGCCAAAAACCCTGGCGCCGCTCCTGTCAATCATCACAGGGCTTCATGATCTGTTACCATCCAATTTAAGTTCTAAGCCATTTTTGGCTTTTTTACACATGACTCTGCAAATTACAGCCATGTTACAGCACTGGCTTTCAGCTATTAGTAAGCATTAAAATTCATAAAACAGATAATGAAAGCTCAAAAACCTATTCAATGAGACATTTTTGTAAATGAACATTTAAACATTCATGAATTTTAATTCATGAACTGTCAAGAAATGTATGCTTCTTCTATGAAAAATAAGCATCCAAGAGATACGTATATTGTAAGATCAGACTTCACTGTTATGCTGCTTGTCACTGTTGCCTTGTACATCAAGAAATAGTTTAAATGATTCTGTTAAATCCAAGGAAGTCCAATCCTTTTCCAACCAGGGAATTCTTTGTACTTGATTAACAGCTTTCTGTTGTGCTATCAATTCTCAGTAGTTTAGGACCAAATTTCCAGGTGCATTTAGGCATCAAACAACTGTTTTGGAAGTCACTGTCTCTTTGTTTTTATTTTGCCTTTTTACTATCTTGCCAATCTTTTTTTCTAAAAAGTAACAATCAAGAACAATAGAAAGGCGTATATATATTTCATAGTATCACTACATTTTCATACCAGTTGAACAGCTCACTGGACCATGGCCCTTCTAGTGTCCCCATGTTCAAGGGTCAAAAATTCACAAGGGGAGTCATCGAGAAAGAAATAGTTTTGAAAAAGTAAAATGTCAGGAGTGCACAATCACACAGAACACATGTGTGAAAAGTCTCCAGGCAAATCTCTGATTGTGAGCCGTGCCTGTAAGATTTGTGTCAGTCTGAAATCATACTATTATTCATTCCAAATCTGACACTACCAGGGTGGTGAGCATGGTATAAATGCTGTAATAAATAGTAACTGTATTAATGCATTCCAATATATTTTTTCTATTTTTATGCTGATACATTGGGTAAATTCCTGAAGTTTTATTTACCTTTTACTCAGTACTCAGACAGAATTCTCATTGACTAAATAAGGTGGATGATGGGGAGAGAAATGCTTATTATCTTACTTGTTAACAGACTGAAAAGAATGGTCCCTTTAATAATTGAATGAGAGTTTTGACTGATTAGAAGTGGGTAGGGACTTCAGGATTTGGCCCAGGAGGACTGGAATAATAATTTCTACCATCTTTCATTTCCATACAAGAATATCTTAGAAGGGGGTGGGGGGGAAGACAATTCCATATCAGCTGGCCTGTTTCAATACATCAGTCACCTACCACGTCCATTTACTATGTCATAATAACTGTCAATCATGTAGTAATGAACTACTGCGATCAATTATGTGCTTCTTATATGTATCTCTCCTGAAACCCTTTCCTTTGATATTTTTTTTACCTTAGTCCCCAAAAGGAATTTGTGCACTATTTGTTTGAATATAACTTCCTGTATTAATTCATCAGGATTTCTAAATGCATTTTTTTAAAGCTGAAGGAAAACGAATGCTCCTAATACTCTGCTGTCTTAATGCTGTGTAATCAGCTGCTTTCTGAAGTATGTAATTCAAAACAAATCTATGAAATCCCCAAATATATGTTAGCTGAGCTCATTTTAATGCAAGAGAAAAATAAACTGCTGCTGAGATTAGGACCAAAAACCCCAACCCAAATTTGATATCTGAGACTTCTACACTGCTTAGGGATAATACATGACTCAGAAGCTTTCATCTACTTGGAAACAGAAGCTTGTATTTGTGAAAACCAACATGGCAATAGAATGTTTGCTATAAAATATAGGTCCTATATAGCCTATAGGATACACAGACCAAGATTTTACAAAATGAATTCCTAAAATTAGGTTTTTAGGACTGTATTTTGGTGCCCAAATAAGTAGCCTGGTTTTCAAAGTGAGTAAGCAACAGCTCCTGTTCCCTTTCAGATACCCAATCTTACCTGAGATGGATGTGTGTTTATAAATATATGGATATGTTTATGTTTTCCATTTTTCTTTCAAACTATTTTATATGACTTGTGTACATGCAATTTTTAAATGTTTTCTTGTTCGTATCACAAATGTTTAGTGATCCACAGAAACAGTAAATAGAGCTGATAGCTTAAAACTATCTTCCAATAGGATATCAGTTTGGTAGTGATGAAAATTGTTTTATAAAAATGAGAGGTTTAAGACTTTAGTAGTAACAACTGAATTTTAATTATACTTTTAAGTTTGGTAATGTGTTCAGTTCATTTGTACACTGAATGCTGCCATCTACTGCTTAAATCATGAAAGCCATTGACACTAGTAAGAGGGCATCTGAAGAAAAACAAATTCACTTTACACTTTCAGACATTTATACTGAGCACACCATTCTAAAGTCAGATTTATAGCATTGTATTGTGATTCTAGTCCTGCTTGTTTTACTCCCAAATATTCCCATTAATTACATGCAGACTATGGATGGTTGTAAATTTTCCACTGGAATGAAATTTCAATGAGAAACAGAAAAAAGTTGTTTAAAATATTCATGAGAAATGTCCAACTAGTCCTAAATAGGATTACTTTCATCAGTAAAGCAAGCAGAACTAGGCCCGCTAAAGACTCAGTCTCCAAATGATCCTAAACTGAATACCAGGAGCTGAACATTGTGCACATGGAATTCAGAGTTAGCATTTGTTTATTCAGATGAGAATATTTTATTTGTACAGTAATTAATTCCATTGCCACATTACAGAAATCATATTTCTGACTCCAGAGCATGACTGTTCTCATGTCTCTGATGTGCAATAAGGAGGGCTTTATTGATACATTACTGGTGTAGTTTCACAGTAGTAATCACTGTACTTTGTGTTCTTTTTCATCTCCCAAACCATATATGCTGGTTTGCAGATGAATTTCAAAATGATACCAATCAGTTCAAACAATAAAATAAACCAAGGCCAAAATGTTCATATTTCAGGGTGCCTAATCGTAAGCACTTAAATTAGGGATAAATATAGATTTAGGTGCATCTCATCTGCCTTAAGCAGGGTTCTCTGGCTCCAGGAGGTGAAACAAGATTTGCCCCAGCTATAATTTGACACGTTTATTTGTTACAGATGGACAAAAGTGGGAGGGAGGAGATGATTGGGTATTGCAAAATCTCATCAGTAGAGTTTTGTTTTGCAAAATCGAAGCAAGAGGTAGTTTGCATTTCGCACTCTATTCAGATCTCCAGTGTTTAGGGATGGGAAGCTGGGCTCTTTTGCCTCACAACTACAATTTAATATAAACTTCCACATTAATCTAATGTTTATGGTGTTCAGGTACTGCAGTATGGGTGTATTAGAAATAGAATGAGAGAGATTGGTTTGTCTTTTCTACAAAGAGAGCATACTTATATATGTTGGTCTACGAGCTACTTTTTGGATATTGCTACCTCCTATCAGATTGGAAACAGAATTCAAAAAATTTTAGGCCAGATTCACTCCTATGGGTGCAGTGGGGTTGCAATTTGCATCCTGCTGCACCAGAAGGGAATTATTTTTGCCACCTGCTTGAACTGGAGGAGGGCAATTGGGCTTCATAGAGAGAAGCATCTTCTCACTGTCCTGGCCGGGCCCTCTGCTATGCCATCCACACCCACATATGGGACTGCACCAGCCAGTTTAATGGCCTCTAGCAGAGTAGAGGTAGCAAATGGTTTGTACTGTTGCTTTTCCACTCCAGGCAGACTTGGTACTGGGTGAATTAATCTCCTCACAAATCATCTTCATATTTATTGGTCTGGTCTTATATCTTGATTTGACAAATATAAACCCTAGAATCAGTGATCTTAGAACAACATGAAATTAAATTCACCCAACGTTCTACTATACAGCGTGCATTAAAAATACTTCAGGCTGTTTTTTTCACTTAAAACCAGAAAATCCACTGTATTGTTCAATGATTGATAGCAGATGCAGAGGAAGTCCCTATAGTATATATCACCTGTATACAACTTTAACTTCAATTCCATAACTTTCCTCAGTCTACAGTTTTCTCTTATAGCCCCAGCCTGCAAATAGTTAAATAGGTTTTCTCACATTTGCAGGATCAAGGCCTTACATAACCACCAAGAAACTCAAAGTCGGCATAAATAGTAATGGGGACACAGGATGTTCCTGCCTGGTATCAAATGGCAGTGGGGGGAAATATTCTGTGTCCTATGATTATACCTGAACTATCAAACACATTCACCCACACCAGTATTCCTGATAGGTAAACCTAGCCTCAAAGCTCAATAACAAAATCCCAAGCTCCAGATGTCCCTGATGAGGAGAGATGGCCTATTCAGTCTTCTTTAAGCTGCCTTTTCCTGCTTTAAAATTGCTCACCAACTTGCATTGCGTGAAGTTAATTTGTCTCCCTCTCTCACTTGTTTATAGGAGAGATTTTTGGAGTGGGAACCAAGACCGAGGACAGGGCTAAAGCAGTGAAATGTGAGGAATTTAAATCTCCCATTGGTGATGGTATAATATTACTTCATTTAACAACAGATTTACTTGAATGCCCATATCAATCTATGGGAACAGTACAGTGCTTGTGCACCTCTAGGTTTTGGCCATTCCTTCTTCCCAGAAATATTTTGCAGTAAGTGAAAAATAGTCTATGATTTTTACTTATTTGCTGAATACAAATATCCTAATTGAAGCAAGACCACTTGGAGGCATGAGGCAAAGTGTAAAAGGCATGGGAACTTTATAGAGTTATTCGCATGTTGAGTTTTGGTTTCAGTCTATACCATTGGAGGGGGGGGGAAGTTTCTGTAGGTGTCTCAGTATCATGAACATTACACCAATTGGGTCTTCAGGGCTGAACTATAAGCCAACCTACATGCCCATGAAGAAGAAGGGGGCCTATAAAGAGCCCCTCACTCCTATTTGTGGGCTACCCACCTGTGGAGTCACAATGTATCAGAAGAGCAGTCATCCTAGAGCCTCTATACCCACTTCCACACAGGCAGGGGGAGTGGGTAGACATGGAGTGGGAAGAACTGTAGCTGAGCTGGCAGGGTAGGGGAGGTAATCTGCCAGAAAAAGGACTGGTCCATCTTACTTCCCCTGTCATTAATTGCAGAAAATCTTAAACGAGGCCATCAGAAGTTTACCAAACATGTGTAAAATGCAGGTATATTAAAAGATAGTTAACTCATCATCCATTGACTAATAGGTAACAACTATACCCTTGTCATACATACAATACAGCATTTTAGGCTTCATCTCAGGGTCGCACTATAAATGAAAGCCACATGTCCCTTGATGCCAAATGAATTTCTAGTGTCTAGAAAAATTGTTGATGAAATTGGCGCCACTTATTTATTTTGCTTTATTTTGCCTGGCATACTGTAGCTGTACTATGATATTGTGACACCAGCCTGCTAAGCAACTTGAGTCCAAAATAAATGTAGTGTTTCCAAGCTTCTACAGGAAAAATGAGTGGTTTGGTGGATTCGTCCTGAATCTCAAAGTTCCCAACTGAACTAAATACAAGATGACTAACATTCACAAAACTTCAGGGAGTAGGAAGGGGCAGGGCAAAAGAGTTTGTATTATTTCTAAAGCTTCTCTGTCATTATTTCAAGTGGTAAAGGAACCAAAGATTCCCCTCCCAGACAGCATTATTTTTCTATCTGGTATTGTAGGGGTAGATAAGTAGTTCTGAAAAAAAAAATACAAAACCTCAAATATTAAGAAAATTCCAGTTGAAGTGTAACACTTCTGTGTTGGTGGATGGCTGAGCTGTGACCAAGCAGTAAGTTCAGTTAACTGTCACGGACACAAGCATCTTCTTACTGATTTTATGTTTTTTTATTATTTGTATTACAGTAGTGCCTAGGGACCAACCGAGAACAGGACTCCATTGTGCTAGGCACTGTACAAACATAGCAGTAGATAATGCTTAACTGGGAAAAAAGTCAACTTTGAATATTGATTTGAGGTAAACTTAAACATAGTGTCAGGGATCCACAGCGGAACCCAAACCCAGATCATTGCCCTCAGCTGATTCAGCTAGTGAACCTGGCCTCTTGACTGGCTGATTGGCAGGCACATTCTTAAACCCTACAGCTGGGTCTCTAGCGGCTCAACAGTGTTCCACGCCTGCAGCTGTGTTTCTGGTCCTGCCCTCAGCTTCTTCCTTTCTCCTGCTCCTTGTTCCTGGCTCCCACCCCTGGTTTCCTCCCCCGGTTTCCACTCCTGGATCCTGCTCTGACTGATTCTCCCGCTTTGACCCTCAGCTCCTGATTCCTGGTTCTCAGCCCTGGCTTGCTCCATGGACTTGGTAACTTAGTTCCTGATTTGGGCTCTGGCCACTATGCCTGGTCACCTCTGCTCCATCCACTAAGTCAGCTTCCCACCCTGACCATTAGGCAAGACAACCCACAGCCCAGTCCTTAACAGTTTGAGTAGCCCTCCAAAACTGAAGAGAAGAAGACGCAGAGAAAGAGGGGGCAATGGGTGGAGTCACCTGTAGTGATGGATCCTGCCCAGGGTGGCCTTTCTATAGCTGACCTGCTGGGTGCCATACAGACCGTGCAAGGGCAGGTTGGCACTCTGTAGGCCCAGTGTGCAATTCTTCAGGCCCCAGCCTCTCTATCATTATTTCAAGTGTTAAAGGAAACAAAGATTCCCCTCCCAGACAGATTTGATGGGGCTCACAGGACCTTTAATGAATTCCTGAACCCATGCTACCATTTGTTCCAGATGAGGTCACAAATTTATCCCATCAACAGAGCCAAGGTGGGCCTAGTCATCAGTCTCCTGATCAGAGAGGTGCTAGCCTGGGCATCCCCTTGCAGGAGCAACCTAGTCCCCTCTTGGGCAAGTTAAAGAACTTTATGCAGGCCTTGGCAGACATCTTCAACCACTGAAACCACTGGTTTAGTTGGGAATTGGTCCTGCTTTGAGCAGGGGGTTGGACTAGATGACCTCCTGAGGTCCCTTCCAACCCTGATATTCTATGACACACTCAGAGTCAATGCTTCAGGCCCTGATACAAGGCCACCAGATGATTACCAGCAATGCTGCAGAAAACTGTTGCCATGCAGCAGACACAGAATGGAATGGGACCACACAAGACCACCATTTCCAGCTTGGTTTGAGTGATGAAGTGATGGATGAACTGGACCAGACAGAAATCTCAGCCAGTTTGAGTGCCCTGATCGATCTTAGCATAGGAGTGGATTGTTCAGTATGGGAGCAGCATCAGGAAAAGAAGGCAGTGCCCTAACCTTACTCAGGTTCAGTCATACCTGCCTGAACCCAACCCCCTGCTGAACTCCTGCAACAACTATAGCCCATGAAACTCAGCACTGTCCAGCCCCACCTTTCTGATGCCAAAATGAATCAATGCTGCCTTTTCTGGGGCGGAGTGGGTCACTGTGCCTCAGGTTGCTCAGCAAAATATGGTGTTTCCCAGCCAGGAAACACGATGACCAAACCCTGAATGAAGGTACCAGATGGAGACAGTGTAACTCCCCTAATTCTAGCTTACTTCACAGGCACCCTGTCAGTGTTGACGCTTCACCCTACTCACTTTGGTTCCTGCTCGCTTAAGACATCTGGCCACAGTGGGATTCCACCTGGAAGCCCTAGTGGACTTTGGAGCATCTAGTAACTTTATGGACCTAGAATTTGCACAGCAACATCATATTCCAACACGGGTCAAGCCCATCCCGGACCACATTGAGGTGGTTGACAGCTGCCTCCTATCTTCCAGCCCTGCTGGTGAGAAACTGCTCCTCTAGAAGTTGCCACCATCCAGGACCATCAGAAGACCATAAAGTTTGGCCTTGTCCATTCCCCCAGCTTCCCAGTTATTTTCTGCATCACTTGGCTAATGCCAATGACCCTTACATCTGCTGGAGCTCTGGCACAATCAAGTTCACTTTCCTGCACTGCGGTGAGTCATGCCACCTCAACCTCAGTCTGGGGGAAAAAAGTTACCCCCTTCTTGTACCCACTGAAGTCTTCTCTCTAAGGCAGGGAAGTCAGGGGTGGCCTTGCTAGCACCATCCAGACTCCCTCCTACTCCCCACCCCCCACCGACTACTACGGCTATACTTGCAAAATATCAGGATCTGTTTGACATTTTTGACAAAGGGAAGGCTGATATTTTGCCACCTCATCAGCCCTATGACTGAGCAAAGGGTTCATCCTCTCCTCCAGTCCCCAGCCAGGGCTCCAATTTTCTTGGTCACCAAGGACAGTTCCCTATCTCTGTGTATTGACTATCAAATTCTAAATAAGACAACCATCCAAAACTGGTACCCCTTACTTCTTATCAACAAACTTTTTAAAAGGCTTTGCCCCACAAAGATCTTCACCAAACTTGAACTATGTAGGGATCTAAATCTTATTCAGATCAGGGAGGGAGACAAGTGGAAAACCATATTCTGCTCCCTCTTTGAGCATTTTGATTACACTGTTGTGCCATTCAGATTACATAATGCTCCTGCTACCTTCCAACATTTTGTAAATGACATTTTCAGGGATATGTTAGATCATCTTGTTGTCACTTATTTACATAATGGCTGGCTCTTCTCTGAGAAACAGACCCAGAATACCCATCATGTATGCTACATTTCTAGAAAGACTACATCAGAACCACTTAGGCCAGTGGTAGGAAAACTTTTTGGCCTGAGGGCCACCTGTGGTTATGGAAATTGTATGGTGGATCACGAATGCTCAGGAAATTGGGGGTTGGGGTGCAGGAGGAGGTGAGGGCTCTGGCTGCATGTGCAGGCCTCTGGGGTGGGGCCAGAAATGAGGAGCTCAGGGTGTGGGAGGGGGCTTCGGGTTGGGGCGGGGGGTTGTTGTGCAGGGTGGGGGGTGAGGGCTCAGGCTGGGGATGAGGGGTTTTCAGGTGTAGGAGGGGGCTCTGGGCTGGGACCAAGGGGTTTGGAGGGCAGGAGGGGAATCAGCGCTGGGGCAAGGGGTTGGGGCGTGGGAAGAGGTCAGGGGTGCAGGCTCCAGGCGGCACTTACCTCAAGCAGCTCCCGGAACCAGCGGCATGTCCCCCCTCCGGCTCCTATGTGGAGGCACAGCCAGAAGGCTCTGCATGCTGCCCCATCCGCAGGCGCCGCCTCCAGAGCTCCCAGAAGCAGCGGCATGTCCCCCTGCTGGCTCCTACATGGAGGTGTGGCTCTGAGTTCTGCCCCATTCGCGGACGCCGCCCCTGCAGCTCCCATTGGCTGTGGTTCCCAGCCAATGGGAGCTGCAGACCCATGCTTGGGGCAGAGGCTGTATGCAGAGCCCCCTGGATGCCCCTACATGTTGGAGGGGGGACATGCCGCTGCTTCCCGGAGCTGCACAGAGCGGGGCAAGCCCCTGACCCTGCTCCCCAGCAGGAGCTCGGGGACCAGATTAAAAGGTCTGACAGGCTGGATGTGGCCCGCGGGCCGTAGTTTGCCCACCTGTGGTCCAGACAAGCAATCTTG